CTTTATTGTGCCAAGGGAAATTTGCTTTAGGATACAGTGCCACAAGAATTATCAAAATAATTGTTGGTGCATATCAGTGGGGGCGGTTTCGTGCACTGACATGCTTGCAATACCACCCCGGGCCGATGGGGGTGGACGCGGAATAAGAATTAGCCAATGCTAACCTCTCGAAAACGTCTTTACAGTATGGTCCAAAAGTTGGCTCTTGGCCCAAAGTTCCGTTCCACATGTGTGTCAATGCTGAGGGGGGTGGATTTTTTTGGACCAGTCTAGTTTACTCGCTGTGAATTTTTGAAGTCTCTCGTTTAAATGAATGAAGCTCGTGCTGGCTGACGCATGCGCAGATGCGTTTTTTCACATTTTCCAGCCCCCGCGGCCATTTTGAATCACTCTATGAGAGCCCAATTTTTGGCCCATTAGTTAGAACGGCGGAGATAGGTGTGACTACATCCGTTAATACAGTCTATCTATCTATTTCTGTAATTCAACTTACAATGTGAAACCAATGTACTGTACAGTATATTCACTCCATGCACCGTGGCTAATGCCAATTTTGATGATTATATCTTATAGTTCATTTTCAAAATATTGTATGTTACAAGCTGTGCGCCAATTACAAACTTGATACATCTCACTTTTGCCTCTATTGAGTCTGTCATTAGAATTGGCATTAGCTGTCATTAAATGTAATTTATTATTAGCATTTATGAACAATATTCAGTCCGCTCCCTATGGACCAATGGCTTTTATCGTATTTGATGTTTGATTTTCTGATCTGTTGCTGTCAAATCCACAACTTTTGAGACCAATGCTGTTTATGGCTCTATAAAAATAAATTGAATTACGTTGGAATATGCTGAAATACAGAAGTAAATGCAGTTTTGAATGATATTCTAAGTTTCAGATATATGTAGTGAGGGGCAAAAAGAAAATGGTTTCCTGTTCTCCCTATACGTGTTTCTTTTCATTGAATTGCTATGCTTTAATGTCTAATGGTAGAAATGTACCAACTTGCACATGTGTCCCCCGATTCCGAAATCCCACATATTGTACACTCGAAAAAGCTCTTTTATGTCATCTGCCGCTTCATGTCATCTACATCAGGGCCAAAAGCACCACATACATGTCATAATTACGTTGTGAGATACCCTTAAGTACTTTTTTGCGTTGTTCGTTTGCCTTCTCCATGTTTCTAATTTTACCACATTTTCCTCCTGCACCTTGGCTTCCTCTGCCAACACCGAATCTTGCCAAAAACAACACACTCCAGCTTCCAAGCGCTCACTCCGACACGTACACTCCAGCTCACCTTCTATCTTAAGGAGAAGGTTACAGGTTTTTCCGCCGTCGTGCCAAATGTTTTGAAAATGTGTTCATATTTTTAGAATTTTATTTTTTTCCCCTCGAGTAGATGCTTTTCAGTGTATATCTCGAGACTCCTTTTGGCACGGCGAGCAGTCTTCCTTGGCAACATGGTGGCACCGGCATCTGCTTTTGGCTCGCGGTGACAAGGAGGAGCTATAGAGGAGCGGCAACGTTAATTTCATGCAAAGAATACATGCGTTTTTGGAATAAGCCATTTCCGTTATGGTTAAAAACATCCACATGACGCAGATCCATCGTGCTTAACCCTAAAGCACTCATAACACAATTTTTTTTTTTTTTTTAAACCCTAGTTTTCATTACAGTTTTTAACCCCTTTTAATTATAGGTCTTTGTCAAATGGGTGAGATGCAGTTTGATGGTAAATGTGCCAAAAAACAACCAATAGATATGTCTCAATGATGTAGATTTCAGTTCGAAGCTTCAAATAGAGACTAAAAACGTCATCCACGAAATGGTTGAGGAAATCAATTAAAGGGTCAATGATAAACGTGAGATATTTTGGTTTGGTGGTGGTATGTGCTAGTTCTGCTTTACTAAAATGGTTGCTCTTCCTGGCTCTTGGTCAAATTTAATCATATGTATTCATTTATTAGTGCCAGCAACACACCGGTTAAGTCCGTCTCAGTGGGCCCTGCTCTCCCCTGGTCCTTCTCTGGAATGACTTGTGCCAAATCGGACTTAACTAGGCACAACAGAGGGATCTCTTGGCTGGTTTGACTGCCGCCGAAAAGATGGTTGCTACATGGTGGAAGCCCCCTCACTCGATGTCTCGCCAGGACACGACTGGGTCATGACGATGGTTGACAGTAGCTATTTGGGAGCTCTCAACAGCGCGAGGACACAGCCCCGAGAACAAGATCAGATAAGTAAGATAAACCTTTATTCGTTCATCAGTGTGGAATTTTGGCGACATTGTTGCGCACATTACAGCAGAATAAAAGGAGGAAAACAGATAAAATAATGAGGAGAGGGTCATAAACACGAGGACTGGTTCAACAGAACATATGAATACATGCAGGGTTCCTCTAAGTTTATCTTTTGTTATTGTACAGACTTTGTTTTTGAATATGATTTTCTGTCCTGGATCTTGTTCAAAATGAAATAAAACATTCTTTAAAAACAGTCAATTGTCTCAGCAGGATAGGCAACAATTGTTTGCATTTTATTTTTACAAAACAAGTTTCTAATATAGTGAATGTTGGCCGGTGCTTTTGGCTTCAAATTCATTCATATATTTATTTTAAAAGTGTTATATTTATTTGTGTGTGTGCACATTGCATGCATGCACCAGCCTCCCCCCCCCCCCCCCCCCCCCCCCAAACACACACACACACAATTGCCCTGTTATCAATCCCAATCTCCAGAGTTCCACCACAATAATTGATTGACCTATTTTGTGTCATTATTATTTGTCAATCATTATGATCATTAACTTGGATGCACTTTTCTCTATTCTAAAAGCACACTTAAGCAAAGCACGTATTAATTGGCATCATAGTACATAAACTTGACTTCTTTTTCATTAGTGTACTGTAATAATTGGACAAACACAGTACTTCAGATATAGATACTGTATATTGCCGAAATGGGGCCTGAACAGTTGCTTTCCTGGGCATTTTTGAGCAAAAACTTGGCTTGTTTTCAAATTAAATTGTATGTGTGCATTTATTAGCACACGCACCCACCGGTTAAGTCCGTCTTTGAAGTCAAACGTGAAATCCCAGCCTACATGCCAAGAACAGAGTCGAAAACACACTTTGAATGATTGATTTTAATTTGAGTTTTCCTCTGTAGTTAAATTCAAGACTTGAGGGATTTTGGCCTTCACTGAAGAACCATTGCTCATTAGTTTGAACATGCAGGCTTCAATACTGAAATAGTCCATGTTACGTATACATATCTATGGGGATCGTAGCGTATATGCACTATATTGACCACAACTTGGCACATGCGATTGAGCTTTCTCAAACCAAACAATATAATTTGGCTTTTTGATGAGCGGTGCGTGCTCATGTTAGCCTGGCGTCCTTCCAAAGATCTCTATATTTCAGTTTTGGCAGCCTAAACGTTTTCTTCTCCTCGTGATGATGTTATAGTTGTGTGAACCCTGTGATATTAACAATGTGCGATTAGCCCGGTTCAACAATTACAAAGATTCAGGATGTCAGTTACGAAAGAGCTCTTTATTGCCATTCGTTTGTTTTGTGTGGCTTTTTTCGGGGCCTCGGTGAGAGCGTTCCGAGCCAAATGTTGGAGAAGTGTTGATTTGTTTGTGAGGTTGTGAGTGCGAGCGGTGAACTGTAGCTAAGAGATCAGTGCATTGGTAAAGTGGGATTAGAAAAAGTTGCAGTTGTAGCCTGCGTAGCAACAGCAACAGTAGTCTTTTACCTGTCTTCAATGCCTTGAAGTTTTCAGGATCAGAAAGATAGATATTTAACATCCCACAAGAGGAAATTGACAGATAAGTGACAGAAGCCATAAACTTATAAATTGTTATAGATTAGGTTGCTCTCTATTTTTATTAACTGGTACAGTACTAGTTATGGCTTTACCTGAGTGTGAAAGCCTGATCCTGGTACATCTCAGGAGCTAAACGAAGCAGGGCCTGGGTAGTACTGTGATGGGAGACCTTTTGGGATCATCCACAGACCTTTGGGTATGTGGGTTGTGAGGCGCTTTGAGTGGCCTTGTGTTGGAAAGGCGCCATACAAATAAAGTTGATTGATTGATTGAACAGTGGGAGGGCTGCAGTGATAACGTGCCACAGTGTGATTCTGCAAGACCCACACTTCAGCTACTTTGCTTTAGCAATGTGCTAAAACATATATTTTTTAGACGTATATATCTATTTTCAAAATTAGACACAATCCCGGTTTTATTTAACAATATTCATTGTTTAATTTTACCCCACATTTCTGTTTTTTTATAGACACAAATATAATATATATAAATAAATATGTGTGTATGTGTGTGTCTCTGTGAGTGAATCATTGGTGTTGGATGGAGCAACCAATGGCTCACATTGGCAGCATTTCTTTCGTCAGACTGCCTCAGGAAGCTCTGGCTACACTAGTTTGCATTAATTGTGTATAAATAGATTGTAAATTTGAGCTGAAATGTGATATGTCGACATCATGTGACGGTAGAAAGACTCCAATAACACTTCGGGATGATCAGAGGCCTTGGTCTGGTATGTGCTCATGGAGTGAACGCTCTTTTGTCATTGTGTGTGGCTTTGCGGTACACTCAACAACAACAAAAATACAATATACAATACATTTTGGTACATCCCCAAATCACAGCAGCAGTAACCTCGGAGGCCTTTACAACAGATCAGAGAATCAAACAGTTCTCAGGAAATACATTAGTGATAAATGGACACATGGACACATAGGAACCATTGGTCAAGAGATAGCGACTATGAATGGACTGAAAATAACCTCAATAAAATGACACATAAACAATCCATACACCCATCCATCCATCTTCTACCCTTTAATCCATTTCTGGGTCAGGGGGGTGACAGTCAGAGATGCCACCCAAGTCTCATAGCACCAGCACCATCCATACACAAGAATATAATAATGAAGTGATTTGGTCTCCTTGTATGTGACATGTCCAGCGAGCTCTTCCTCTTCTTTCCGGACATACTTGTGAGACAAGCCTGCCACCTCTGCACCTTGCAGATTAGACTCCTCCACATCTTCCTGTTTGATTCCATCCAGGTGCACTCTGGGAACACTGCCATGTCTTTCCCTCGGTGCGCCGCGCAGCTGTGGACGACGCCTAAATTTGATTCCCCTCCTCGTAGCCATAGCAACGGCCGGGGTATTAGCCGGATGGGTGCCGTGGCGGTGCCAGAGGCGGGATGGGCTCCTGGTTGCAGCTCATTGGCAGATGACATTGAGTGAAAGCTGGCATTGGGAGATTAGAGGATCAGATGCGCACAGCTCTCTTTGCAGGAAGTGGTATGAAATGTAAAATCAATGGCACGAGGTTTGACTCTTCTGAACACTTGATCTACACCGATAAATGGAGAGTCGTCCCCAAACCGTGGAGTACGACAAGATGGAAATGGGAAAGAAATTATGTTTTAGTTTCTCCAAAAAAAAAAGGTATAAATACCACCAACGACTAGGCCCCAAAGCATATTATTCAATGCTCCAATTTTAGGCAATGTTAAAAAAGTAATTATTCATGACAATAATATTTCCTAATATTTTTTTCCTAATATTATTTTAATTCAATCGTCATCAACTTTATATAGCGCTTTGGACACTCAAAGACGCTTCACACGTCATTATTCATTCGCTTCAAACACAGTGGTGATTAAATACTGCTGTAGCCACAGCTGCCCTGGGGCACACTGACAGAAGCGAGGCAACCAGTATGTGCCATCGGCCCCTTCGACCACCACAAACCATTCACACACCCACCAGACTCAATGTGGGTGAAGTGTCTTGCCTAAGGACACAGCAGCAGTTTGGCACTTTACAGCCGCAGCCGCAGCCGCCCCACTGTGGCATCAGGTGTTCCCAGAGGTTAAGTGTCTTGCCAAGGACACAACGACAGCAAACTGTGGGAGTCGATGGAGGAAGTCTGAGCCTGAAGTCGATCTTCAGGCTACCAACAGAGCCACTGTCGCCTAATAAAGTTTGTAGTGAATTACACTTTCCATATTACTCTGCCTCACAACACAAACAGTTAGCTTAAAGTTACTTTTAAAAGGTACTGCAGATGTTGAATTTAGATGCTAAACATGCTAAATATATAATAATATAGAATAATACATGACAGCATGACTTAATTTTGATCATGGCAACTGTTGCTAAGGAGCTTTTTCTGGCTCTTGGCTCATAAACAAGTCACTTTTCCTTTTTGTTTTGTTTTGTGTGTGTTGTTTAAGATAAAATAAGATAAGATAAGATAAGATAGAATTTATTGATCTCACACAGGAGAAATTTACACATCTGACATGGATAGAATCACTCAAGGTTTGTGCAAAAGAAAGACATGTGCAAACATGTTAAATGCAGGATATATAAAGTACAATAAAAGTGGCAATTAAAAAGTGGCAATCAAAGAAACAGTGGCAATAGTTGTGCAGGTTTTTTAGTCCTAGTGCAAGTGACTTAAAGTGACTTGTTGTACAGTCTGACAGCGGTGGGGATAAAGGCCCTGCGGTAGCGTTCCTTGCACTGAGGGTGTCTCAGTCTTCCACTGAAGGAGCTCCTCAGCTCCTCTACAGTCCTGTGCAGTGGGAGGGAGGTGTTGTCCATGATGGAGGTGACTTTGTCCCTTACCTCCTCCACAGAGTCCAGGGAGCAGCCCAGAGTGGAGCTGGCCCTCCTGACCAGCTTGTTCAGTCTGCTCCTCTCCCGCTGCCCGGGGGCCCAGCACACGGCAGCGTAGTGTATGGCAGAGGCTACCACAGAGTCATAAAAAGTCCTGAGCAGAGGCCTGCTCACTCCGAAGGACCTCAGCCTCCTCAGAAGGTGGAAGCGGCTTTGGCCCTTCTTGTGCAGGGCGTTGGTGTTGTGGGACCAGTCCAGTTTATTGTTAATGTGAACTCCCAGGTTTAATCCTAATGCATACATTGTTATAAAAAGGTCTGGAAGTACAGTATAACTCAATGAGAAGTTTCCAGCTAAAATCCAGTAACAATAAAATAACTCTCTAATTGTTCTTCAACTCCCCTTTGTCAATTTCTGGTTATGCTGCAGGTAGTGACAACTGTCTAATGTGACTTTTAAATCAAGCAAGGACAAAATAAGACAGTTTTGAGGAAGAAAATGCTAATAAAACCGGTACATTTGTTAAAAAGTAACAATAAAGTAACAAACATCTTCTTTTCTTCTTTGAAATAAACGTATTACCATCAATATCCTTAAAAACATTTTGTATTAACCTCCGAAAATGTCTTTTTTGCTAACTGGCGCATTAGCATTAGCACCAACTTTCTGTTTGTTTGTGAAATCCACCTGGAATGCCTGCAAAAAGGAAAAAAATCTCAACTAAAAATCTGACCTGGACTTTTTGTGATAACAGTAAATCCTATCTATACCTTCTCTGTTAAAAGACACAACATTCCGTACGTACAGTCACGCCACTCTAAAAAACATATTTCGAAACGCACCGTTTAACTTGGTTTGGGCGGGAGACCGGTTTGGCTAGACGAAAATGCAATATTTGCCAATGTAAATGAAAGCATGGGAGCATTTTAAAAGGGTTATCAGATCTTGGCTTCCTACACAGATAAGGGAAGAAGTGCTTGAGGAATTAAGCAGATGCACTGGCACGTCTCCAGAACGCAGAAATTCCTGATGTGACCTTTACTATTGATTTACTACTTTGAATAAATAGAGCGATGTTTAGCTAAAAGTACATGGGGGCATTACTAAAAAGGCAAGACTTACAAAGAATATCCATGACTTGTAATGCCTTTTTTCTCTTGTGTGTCTTCTATCATTTACAATGGAATTTATAATAGAAAAAAAGTTTTGTTTGATATGATTGATCTTCACAGTGTTATGTTTAGAATATGACCTTTTTCTGACACCGAACATATATGCAATGTAAATGTCTCTTTCTTACTGGCTGCAATAATGTCAAGAGCAAAGTAAAAGGGAAAGCTGTGAAAGTTCTCACATGGACTCAGAGGTTACTTCTTTGCAAGAATATTCCACATAATGGCACTAAAACTCCATATATCTCCATGGAGACCAGCAGGATCAGGAACCAGTCAGGCCACATTTTTTTTACTTTGACTGCCTTCAAAGTAAAAATGGATGCTTTCAAAGTATGATTGTACAGTGCTCAAAAGTAGTTTTCTATTTAAAAATTAAAAAAAAATATAATGACAACAGAAACTCTTCTCTTGATCAGAATTCTCCATCCCCCTGTTCTCACTCATGTGTATTTCCCCTTTAACATCAATGACAGCTTGGAATCTATTGTAGTAATAATAACCAGTGTCCATACATTTTGATAAATGTCCATAAATGTTGTTGAATGTTTAATGTATACATACTGTAACTAAAGCAGTCATGATAAGGTAAGATATCTTAAAGACATGCAGGAGAATAAAGCAGACAGACAGCACACAACAAGACAGACAAAACAAAAATAATGTGGTACAGTAAAATATGTAGAGTTTAAAACAGACAGGTGTAGAAAGGCAGTTGTGGAGTAGGTTTTGGAAATGGTAAAGCTGATGGTAAGTTCTTGTAAACTCCAGGGTCGCCGCACATGAACTGCACATTTGAGATGTCCCCAGCGCAGCATAATGTTATAATTTGATAATAACATGTTTTTAAGACAACATAGCTGCACACAACCACTAACAATGAGTGGGAAAAAAGTTTATAATAAATAAGTACAAAATATAGCCTAAAGAACTTGCTCGGGGGAGTAAACGTTTGAGCACAACTGTATCTTCAAACATACTAAATAAAAATAAAATAAAATAAAAATGCATATTGTAATCATTTCACCAATGGGCAGAGGGAGGGTGAACGTAGTCTGAACGGCGGTTGTTTCCTTTGCACATTTTAATGCAAGCTCTGCCATACTGTGGAACATTCTAATGCAGTGATATCAGCAGATCATTAGAGCTACAAAGAGGGCGCATCCTAAATCTCTCTTAGCTGTACTTACGGCGACAACACTCACTCACTCACTCACTGTCTGGCCAACAGTGGGACTTTGGTGGAGAGTGTGTATTTATAATGTCTACAGCGAGGGTGGCAAAAAAGAGAGTTCCAGCTTAGACCAACGCCACATTTTCCTGAAGTTTCTTATGTTCATGTTTGTATTGGACCTTGGATCTGTCCTGGACCTGTGTGGGTTTGTGTGTGTTTCTGCATGAATTATAAACTAAAAACTAAAACAAATGATTGATTTCTGTTGTTGTAATAAACAACAGAATAAAACATCACAATTATAGATTATTTACCAGTCCTAATTTAAAACATATTGACACAACAAACTGAACCCAGAGCTCATTCTCACACCAGGCCTTTGAGGAATGAAAAGTCAACGCATGAATATGGAAGACATTGTTGCGCTGCGATAAATGATAAACCCTCTGGCCGGAGTCTCCATCCCACAGAGCATCTTCACGATTCCCAATGGCCTGAGCTGCTGCTGCTGCTGCTGTGGGGGAGGACTGAAAAGCTCTGGCAGCGCTGGTAGCTTCTGTTTGTCAGAATACCAGATGCCTCGCACCACATGCTTCTTCCACTTTGATTTCATCTCGGTGCAGTTGTTGATCAGATCTGTCTGTTTGACGCAGCCGGCCTGCTTATCACGAACACCAGTACCGGTAGATGTATCTTTGCACGGGAAAAATCTGCAAAATGTTGACTGTTGAAGTGGATGTACAGTATCATGTTCTTATGACTTTAGTTGACCTAACTTAGTGCATCGACAATTTTAACGTTTTAATATTTAGTTTGTCAAGGCAATTTTGCATATTTGCTGAGCTCAATGAGAGTCGGCCATTGTTACAGTTCAATCCAACTTAAAGCCAAGGTATATAAATGAATAGAACATTTGCTTTGACCAAAAAGAGTAGCAAAAAGTAACTATAAACATAACTCGTTGTGAGTACTCAGACCATTGTTCTTTTGCTTACATCTGCTAGTGCACTTTGGGTGGCAGTATTATGTTTTGAGGCTGCTTTTCTTCAGAAGGGATAGGGATGAGCGTCAGAGTTAATGGGAATTTGAATGGAGCAAAACCAGAGGCAATCTTGGAGGTAAGGCTTGAGGCTGGGGTGGTGGAGGGGGCAATTACACATAAAGACTTTTCATATAATTGAGCAGTTTAAAGACATATTAAGCTAGATCAACTTTTGAGCTTTTAACCATTCCCTCACCAAAAAAGACCTGAAGTTGTGTTGATCCATCCACGCTAATATCAGGAACTTCAACTAAAAGCACCTGTCTCAGTACTGTGATAGTATGATGTCATTGTACTGCTATGACATCATACTGAGAGCAGATATGGATTTAGTTGGGTTGAGTGTTTATTTATTCAAATTAGAATTAATAATAAAATTTCACTACATGGAATTTTCTAGAAAATAGTTAATTTACAATTACTTTGGGTGGCACGGTGGCTGAGTGGATAGCACTCTCGCTCCTCAGCAAGAAGGTACAGGGCCTTTCTGAGTGGAGTTTGCATGTTCTCCCCGTGTCTGTGTAGGTTTCCTCCGGGTGCTCCGGTTTCCCCTACCACTAAAAACATGTACAATAGGTATGAATGTATGAATGAGAGAGTGAATGGCTGGTGTTGATTTGGAGCGCGTTCAGCGACTCGCTTCCGTCATCATCGTGTGTGGAATGATTGGAACTGTACTCTGAACATTGTAAAGTGCTTTGGGTGACCTTGGTCTGTAAAATGCGCTATATAAATAAACATTACTTACTTATTACAATTGTGTAAAAAATTCCCACCCCTGTGAATATCATATTTACGTCCGTGTGTTTTGAGCCAGTAGCAATGTGCGACAACACAACGGCAACAAGCAGCACAATGACCCCAGCCAATCCCGACGCAGCAGACACCAGGGCTTTAAAAACGTTTTTACAATTCCTGTGAAGTGAATAAACCTTTTTTCAAAAGCATGGCTTTGTTTTCGCCGGGAAACTTAAAACAAATTTAACTCCTCCCTCTGGTGGCTGCATAGGGAGTTGCAGGCTTCAAGCATTTTTTTTACCCTTCATACTTGTTTCACCATTCATTTTAAGATATTATTTCACATTCTCAAACATGACATGACAAAGTAAATAGGGGGATTATAATTTGAAAGGACCAAAATAATGCCTAATATTTCTTCTTCTAAAGCAAAACATATTATTGTCCTTATACATTTCCAGTGAGATTGGCCAAGTGGCTGTCTACAGACGTCACCCACTGTCCATCTGGTCTACGGTGCTCTGGGGCCGGCTGCCTCCTTTGTGGAGCGCAGCGGTGGTTCTGTCCAACTTTGATTCGTCACTTATTTGGGAATTGAGTCCCCACTGAGTCCATGTCCAGAGACGAGGAGGAAGAGAGGGGCGCACAAAGAAAGTGTGAAATCACCGACAGTTGTGCAGAACGTACTGTAAAGGCCACCACTGTTCCTGGCCTCCTTCATCTGTCTCCAGGCATATTTATGAGACAACAAACTAACGTGGGAACCAGGCTGCTAAACAAAAACAATGTAATACGAGCCATGTGACAAGCTTGCGGCAAAATTTCACCAGATTTGGAGTTATTGTAGATTATTCTTGAGTGAAATATTAAAGCTTAGTGTGCCCAACTTTTTAAAAAAGTGGAATATAATACATTCCTTGTAACTACTGTAGTTCCTCGCTCTCAAAATATATTGATTCTGTCACTTGTTTTCACAAGCATGTATTTTTGGCCTCTGTCACATCTATAGATCAGCTTTTTCAGGCAGAAAAGTGAAAAAAGATAGACTCTCCTTCACACAGCCAAATCAGCCCAAAGCATCAAAAAGTGACTCACAGGGCTCTTTCTTACAAGTTTGCAAAGATAATGTGATACCTGATAAGATCAAGACAGATTTGTTCTCTGTATTTTACTTTTAGAAGACTTTTTTCTGGTGGGAAAAACATGTGTTATGGATGAAATAATAAAGTTAGGAACCACAGCTTTAAATAGCCCCTTTTCATGGACCGGACAATTATGTTGCAGATCCCTCTGTCAATATAGGCCTCATCAAGGTTTAAGGACATTTATGGATCATTATTGCCATGGCAAATGTGTTTGTTTTTAGTGTGTTCACTGTATTCAAACTTATTCTCCGACCTAATGTTGGCAAATCAACAACTTTGTAAAGTTCTCCGAGACGACTGCTGTTGTGATTTAGGGCTATACAAACAAAAAATTGTCTCCAGCTTGTGTCTACGTGGAGACTTGTGCTGCCTAGTGGTTGAACCCAGAACCTTCTTTCTGTGAGGTGAGAGCTCTAACCTCTCTGCCACTTTGTAGTGTAAGCATTTCAGGAAAAAGCTAAAAAAAAGACAATTACAACAGAACAAAAACATGCTTTTATGAAATATATTGACGAGTTAATGTTACTTGAAATAAGAACAGTCATTTATTTATTTATTTACAAAGTATTTTTTGTCACTTTTAAATTTTTGGGAAAATATTCAAACTTTAAAGGAGACATATAATGCAAAAGTTGCAACATTGTTGCAAACCTGAAGTTGTTTTGAGATTCATTCACACACAGGATGAGGAATTTCTGGCACAAACATGTACAGTAACTCCGCCCCTTCTGTCTAAAAGCTCATGTCTCAGTCCTGTTACAGGATGATGTCATTGAACTATGACATCATCCCTAGATCAGTTCTCTCAGTTAAAATGACGTCCTTTACATTTGCACGGCTTTTTGCAGCCACTAACGTTGGAATTTGTAAACGAAAAACAAATCTATTTCTATTCAATTCAATCTAGTTGTGCAAATTGCTAAAACAGCAGAAGTCTTCGAGGACTTTACAAGTTGTCGTTTCACCAACAACAGATCAGAAAATCAAACAGTTCGAACACAGGAAACTTAATCATAACAAACACACAGGAGCCATTGGTCCAAAAGCGTTAATAAGTATCCTGGATCATAAGATAAGATAAGATAAACTTTATTGATCTCACAATGGAGAAATTGTCCTGCATAAACAGTGAGAAAAAATTTCGAAACCTTGGCCCACATTGAGAGAGGGATCCTACAAATGGACAGGTTGTAGATCCAATGATAAAGAAGTTCACCATATTTACTACTATTTGTCATTATTTTCCACTTAAAACACTAATTTTCATTTTAAAATGACAAAGTAAATATTAATATCATTATCATTGTTAAGTCCAAAAATGTACTCTCTATGTTATGCAGCAAAACTTAACGCATAAATGCAAGACTGTTGTCTTGCATTTACAGTTAAAAAGCAAACTATACAAAAACTTCACACTTTATAAACAAAAAACAAAAAATCCAAGTCATCAGCAAACCCTGAAATAATTGGTTTGTTGAACACTAAGAATAGACCTTTGCCCTGCTCACTCAGCATAAATCAGCCGTGATAAGCCTCCAGCCCTCTCCAGGTGAACACTATCGAACGCTCTGCTTTAAAAGCCTCACGCTGGAACCATCACAAGGGGATTAGCGCCGAAAAGGGCAACTGGGAACACTGGGAGAGCGCAGACCTCCTCCAACCCTCGCCAACTCGACCCAGAGGGGCCTGGAGGTGGCATAGTTTGGATTCCCATCGTGAGACCGGGGGAATCGGAAAGCGGGGCCAGATGGTGCGTCGCTGCTTGTCTTTGGGTGTACGCAGGCAGCATACGGCGGCGGGACGGGGACGTGTGGCGGGGGGAAACAGCGCCGGGGTCAGCTCTTGATGTTTGGACGTTCCCCGCAGCGGTTCCTTCCACGGCTTTGAACAAGAGCGCATCTCCGCCGCGTCTCCAGCTTAATGTGCCGGTTGACTTCAAACACGGGCCTATTCCCTCCTGCCCAGAGCCTCCCGAGTTCTCAACATATGTTATCAGACCAGTACTGCGCATTGGACATATGTGTGGTGTTTTTTTTCTGTTCTTTTTTTACGCCTCAATTTTCATCTTGTACAATGCCGCTTGACTTGCTTGTGTGTCGCCAAAATCACGCGCCAATGCCTGTAGATGTCCTGTCACGCCGGTGTGCCTTGTCACTGCCATAGTCTGAAGAACAGAGCGCCGAAGCCAATTATATGAGGCAGGCTTCTCTGAGACAGGTGTCCAATGGAAGAAGGTCTGCACAAATACTTAAAAGAAGGGAAATTATTTGATGCTTGTCCATGAATAATACTTGATATAGCAACAGAGAAGCAGCCATATAAGGGCGTTGTGGTCAATTTCATTTAGAACATGCATGAAATGTTAACGCCGATGTTGTGATGTTTTTGTTTTTCTCAGTATTTTGAGGAAAACAACAAATTTACGGTCAGTCGACTCGCCACTCCATAGATTTGATCTGTAAATTGACCTTGTGACACAATGCTACCATGGATAAAGGTTAGTGCAAAGTATTCTTTCAAGAGCTTTTAGTGTGCGTTATTTGTTGGCCCTCTCTTTCCCATTCAAAGTTGATATATTTTTGAGTAATTCCTTCCTTCCTGACTTCAAGATGCCATTGCTCCTATGCTGACCCTGTATGGCCACATTGTTCTATAGATATAAATGTACATATGCAATATTTGACCCCAGAAACACTGACAAAACTGTATTGAAATGTTGACGATTGAAAAAAATAATAAACCTGCTGCCATGTCTTGGTATGTTTCCAGTGTCATATCATAAGCAAGTAATTAAGTAAGTAAGTAAGTAAGTAATCTTTTATTTTATATAGCGCCTTTCACAGACCAGAGTCACACAGCACTATGTATACAATTGAGGACATTTGTCTCTCCACACAGAGATGGGGTCGTGAATAGGCGGATGCAAATTCTCGATGTAGAAATCTTCTGACACAAAATTCAAAATCTTCAAATAGTTATGGTCATAGATAATTGATGGCAAGGATGATTCCCTGAGAAGTCAATATTTGAAAGAAGATAGACAAGATGGATGGAAGAGACACCAGAAGTGACACATATCACCTTTACAATCTGATTTGCTTTGTGTTAAGATAAAAACTTTTGGCCACTTCTTTTGATCTGCTTTTTCAGACAGCAAAGTGAAAAAGGAAGGACCAACCTCCCTCGGCCAATCAGCTCTCCCTTATAAGGATGCAAAATATGTCGTGTTTACTAAAAATATGTTGGTGGTCTGATTTGACTTCTGATTAGACTTTTTTTTTCCTGTTGGGACAAACAACGTGTACTGTTTATGTGACAAAAGTGAGGTACCCCAGCGTTAGGCAAGGCAAGTTTATTTGTATAGCACAGTTCATACACAAGGCAACTCAAAGTGCTTAACAAAACAAGATGGAAAGGCATTAAAATCATAAATAATCACCAAAAGAGTAAAGATAAAATCCCTCAGTTGTATGCACAGCCAAACAGAACTGTTTTTAACCTGAATTTAAGTATTGTCAGAGAAGAATCCTGTCTCACATTTTCAGGAAGACTGCTCCAGATTGTAGCCGCATAAATCTGAAAAGCTGCCTGCCTTATTCAGTCAGACGGCCATACATCTCGTCACTCCAGTTTGATATTGCCTCAGCCTGTAGCAGAGCAATAGCAGCCAATTACATGATTTATTTTTTATTTTTTTTGGAAAGACAGATGTCCAATGTACGCAGGTTAGCGCTAATAGGCAGGTTTTGAAACAAGAGTAATTATTCATCGTTCACAAACCGGTAAAAAGAAGCCGTGCTAATATCTGATGCTGAATGTGTGTGACAGGTGTTGCCTTCAATTCCACTCAGTCTCTGGTGGCAACGGCCGCTATGAAAACATCTTAAAAACACATCCACGCGACAATCATCTCGAGCGCTTCTACTTCCGGACGTTCTATATAAGGAGCTCCACTGCACACGTTGATTATCTACTATTTCAGACTGAATAACAGTTTTTGGGAGCCAAGAGTGGTGTTATGCTTGTTGTTGCGCTGCGATATCCGTGTATAGACTAAGATCCCCTCGTTATTTTCATTAATGGTCCATCTGTCATCTTGGCAGAAGCCCACTAGTATGGAGTTAGCTATGATTAACATTTAATCTATATGATTTTCTAATGAACGCAGTAGAGCCACTTGGTAATGATTGATTTGCTCGCTGTATAAATAATGGATCAGATTGTCGGTGGGCTGGAGACTTACTATGAGGCTGTTGTTTATTTCAAATGCGTCTTTTGAATGAAATTAGCTGTTCTTTATTTATGGTTATTAGTAGGTGGGTTCGCATTGTTGGTTTGAATGAGTTATAATATGTGTGATTAGTATGGAAGTGTTTATGTTCAAACAAAGAATATGTTCTTTTTTGCACTTGTTTCCCTTTTCACAGTTAGTTTGATGCTTGATTTGGACTACAAGATATACACAAAAAGTCAGTTGATTGCTAACATGACTTGATCCACATGGAGCTGACCATATGTGATAGGTCAAACATGTATGCATGTGAAAACTAGAAAAAAAAAGCAAACTGAGACCCGAGAGAGACCAAAGAGAGACCTGAGGGACCAGAGAGAGACTAGAGAGAGAGTGACTGGAGAGAGTCCAGAGAGACCAGAGAAAGAGACCAGAGAGAGACCAGACAGATGAGAGAAACTCAGAAAAGACAGAGAGAGAGAGATACCAGGGAGATAGCCCAGGGAGAGACCAGTAATAAACCAAAGAATGACCAGAGAAAGACCAGAGAAAGACCAGGGAGACCAGAGAGAGAGACCAGAGAGAGAGACCAGAGAGAGAGACCAGAGAGAGAGAGACATATTGTAATTCTGTTGTTTTGTTGACAGTTAACTGTGACTTGGTTTTTCTATGCTTGACCAAATAATCTACTACTACTACTACTACCAGGGGGACCAGAGTGAGAGAGAGAGACAGAGACCAGGGACACCAGAGAGAGGCGACCTGATTAAAGACGGGTACCTACAAATTCCCCAACAGAAAGATTCTTCTAAAAGGACATGTTGTGAAATCAGATCACATCACAACCTGCTGTTTTCATATTATTTTAAATATTGTTATATTTTGTAAACTTAATAGAAAGAGCCCTGCGAGTCACTAATTGATACTTTGGGCTGAAGGTTGATTGGCTGAATCAGGTCGGTCCTCTCTATTGTCACCTTTCTGTCTGAAAAAGCTGATCCAAAGATGTGAAATACAGAACTAGTCCAATGGATTTCGTCATGTACAGTAGTTCCATTCTGTGTTGTTTTAAACATAACCAGCTTTAAATGAAGAAAGCTCTAAACACATACAAGGGGACACAGATGTAAATAGCACTTTTGCATCTCTCCTTTAGTCTAATGTTTATTGTACACTGTCCCTATAAGAATCATAACATATCATACAAACATCTCATAATATGACTATTTATTCCACTAAATCAAACCACACTGGAACTGGATGGATTTTGTTAAATTATTATGGAACTATGTATTATTATAATTCTTGCAAGATACAGTAACATACTTACTGTTCAAAAACTGGTTAATAACAAAACAGACATGTAACCATAAGTGCAGGTGTGTGACTGTCGGCCGCCATAGTCTATTCGTGATTTTTTTGGATTGCTTTGTAAATAGTTTCTTGTAATATGTGAACTTTGTTTTTATTGTGTGATGTTTTTTCTCGCTCTCCCCTATATTCTGTGGTTTACTGCATTTTATTATTGTAATTACTTTTAAATATTAATATCTTGTCATGACATAGTCCACCAATCCAGGGACTGCAAATGACAAAATTCTGGTGCATTTACAGGAATGTTCATTAATGCACAATGTCCCTGTCAAACAAACCAATAAAATACATTAAATTAGGGACCCCAACTTGAATGTATACATTGCAAATACATTTTTGTCATGAATTGTCCAGTTATAAGCGGTTAACAGTTCCTCAATATATTTTTAGAACATGCCATAGACCACTTTTTTCCCCTTAAGAAGCAGCAGAAGTTTCTCAGTGTGAGTCCGCCTGCATGGACTTCCTGCTCCACATTACACCACTCACCACTGCTGCGACGGACAACTGCACTTTTCTCGCCACATATGCTGCGTACATTATGCCTCTATAATATAACGAATACAGCAATACAGTAAACAGTATGTTCAACTGTATTAGTGTTCACGTTAAAAGAGAGAGTAGAATAAGGAGTCAAATGGTATGAGTTTTGAATGTGTTAAGAGCTTTTGTCATTTAAAGCTGGGGTCCTCACCGTCAAAAACCACAAACATAAAAAACCCATTTGGAAACCACATGTTGAATATATTGAGATTAGGATTAAGAGAGACCAGACAGGAGGCAGATGAAGACCAAAGAGAGAGAGAGAGAGACCTGAGAGAGACCAAGGTGAGCGAGACCTAAGTGAACGACCAAAGAGAGAGAGACAGACCAGTGAGACAAAGACCAGAGAGAGAGAGAGCAGAGAGATAGAGGGAGAGAATCTAGAGAGAGAGAGCAGGGAAAGACCAGAGACCAGAAAGAGGGACAAGAGAGACCACAGACGGAGAGACCAGAGAGAGAGAGTAGTGATAGACCAGAGACAAAGACCAGATAGAGATCAAAGACAGAGAGACAGAGACAGAGAGAGAGACCAGTGGGAGATAGACTAGAGAGAGACCAGAGAGAAATCAGTAAGAGAGAGACCAGAAATAGAGAGACCGGGGAGAAAGACCAGAGTGAGAGACTAGAGAGAAAGAGAGACCAGGGAGGAACCAGAGATAGAGATCACAGAAAGAGAAACCAAAGTGAGAGGCTTAAGTAACCACTGCTTCTTTGTTGGTTGTAATTCATTAGTGTATTAAAGTGTTTGAACTGTATCTTCGTTCATGCCACGACCAAAATAAAACGATCCATCCTTCGACATATTCTCCAGTTGCTCACGTTCTAGTCAAACAAGCAAATCTTCACTGCGATTTCCATATTGATTGAAGGGGTATCGATTCTCCGTCTTCCGCTGATGCTTCCCCCTGAACCACAATAATAATAACATCCATCTTGAATTTTTGCAGGCTACTTGTTTATTTATTTTTTTCCCAGATTGCAAATACATCAATACGTGACGTCAGCGCTCTCTATGTTTACAACCCGCAGCAGCAGCAGCATGGCGCCCGTGATGTCTCTGTTAGTCACTGGCCACATTTACGCAACCAATTTCCAAAAGCCTTCAGTGCATTTCTCTGCCAAACACGAAGCCACCTCTCCTCTCCGGTCTCGTCTCTACGTGCAGATGGCGCAGACTCTCACAACATACGTGCATGTATACCCTCTATAGGCTAACTCAGACATCTGCCGTACATGGAGGCTTGAATAGGGCTCTTGGCTGCGTTTCAAGCCTTGGAGAGAGCAGCCTTTTGTGGGTGAGGAGCTCTTGGCGGAGGTGCAGAGGATGGAGGGTTGTTTACCATGAGCGCTTTACCTCTGTGGGTCCCAAGAACATGGATAACGAGATATAGTTATCAGTGACAGGAGAGGGCCGCAAGGACAAGCCTGCATCAGCCGCCGCATCGCACATGGGCAAATGGGATGACAGGACTGCTGACTAGAACCTTTTCGGATTGATTTTTGCAAGGGCGATCCGCATAGATCCAATTGGGATGAGTTTGCTGACAAGAGTAGTCTTCCATCTCACTCATTGTACGGAATAACAATTAATTTGTTCATTCAAGGAGAAATAAGGAAGCGAAATGAAACAAAACTAAACAAAAAGGCAGGATAACATGTACAGTATGCTTTGCAAGTAATATGGTTTTGTTAAATATGAAACTCAAAACATTAGAATATGGCTCAAAGGTCCATTTACTTCAGTGATTCTACTTACAATGCAAAACTACTGTATATCAAGAATTTTTTTAATGTAATGTTTATAATTGGCTCACGGCAAAACGTTGTTCTGGAAAAACATTGCGATACACAATAATATTGAAACTGCTTTTTAAGGCCTGTGCTGAGAAATGTTTTTTGAAATAATATTCAGTCAAAAAAGTGCTCAAGTCTTTACAGCAAAAACTTAATTGTAATACATATAAAATGACAAAAACTAAAAAATACTCCATCAATTTTTTAAACAATGAGTCAATCTAGTAATTATCATAACAGGTCTTTGTGTATGCATTGCAAGTATTATTGATTTTTTGCCTTTGTGGCAAAATTGCATGTAGTGTGCAGTGGCTTATGGGTACTCAGCCATATAACACCACAGATCTATTAAAGCTGGGGCACCTAACTTTTTTTCCTCATAAATAATATATGCTGTTTGTCCTAACAGAAAGTGTCAAGTAAAATAAAAAGTTGCAATTTTTTGTGTGAGAAAGAGCCCTGTCCGTCAATATTTAGAGCTGATGGGCTGAGTCAGGGTGGTCCTCTCTTTTTTCACCTTTCTCTGATCGAAGGACCAAAAAGTACATCAAAATAGTGAAAAAACTGTGAGGGACTAGTTTTATGGACTTTCTGTTATCTGTGGTTTGAAAGTTAATTAAATTATATTCCCCTTTTGCTTTTGTCCTTTTTGAGACCACCATAGCAAGTCCTCTGCAACTTCTTTCTCTCTCTCAAAATAAGGACAACGTATACACCAGATGATCTTCTATCCTCCACGTCGACTCGAGAGTGGCTGCCCTGCTTGACCTTGCGTCCTCTTCTCTCCTATTGGGTTCGACCACAGAATAGTTCCCCCCATTATCCGGATATCGGGGTTCACTCCGGTCACCAGCACTCGCTATAGTTTTACCGGACTTGCGATTTGACCTTGCGTCCTCTCTGTTTTTCCCTCGAAAGCACACCTCCTACAAAACTTTTTTAATCTCCACTTCTTGGAACAGATGCCTCTCACTCTTATCTCGCCACTCAGACCAAAACATTAAAGCAAATCAGCTGTGGCACACTTTATCCTCCCTCTATCCATGTGGCACAACATCTTAATTGATTTGTTCCAAAACCAGCTGAACTGACTCATAAAAAAAAAGAAAAAAGGCAAATCTGTGCTATATGCCCCTTAGATAAGTGCAAAAGAAACACACCACGTTTCGCTTTGAAGAGAGTCCAGCAATTATGTTGGGTATTTTGCGGACAAACGCTATTGTCGGTGGAATTTTTTAGGGTCGAAACAAGAGGCCCGGAAACATGATTTATGTATTCAGCCGGATTCAGCTGGGGGAATGGGGGGGGGGTGCTAGGGTGGTGGGGGGGGGGTTACTGCTGGTGTTAGAATGGGCGAATTTCATCTGGCTACAGCGAGGCCCTGGGCTTTAACATAGGCAGGACGGGTGCCAGCTCTTCTCCATTGGCCATTGTGCTTTAATTAACCTACATAGGAGCTGACTGCCTAAATGTGTGGGGATAGATAAGGCTCCCTTGGATGATTGATTTATTTACCGCACAAGCTGGCGATTTCCATAACATTACGGCCGCAATTACTACAGCCATAGGAGGGACAAAAGTCATTATCAGCCCATAGTGTCATATCTGCGGAGGCGGTGTTTGACATGTGGCAACTGATGAGGAGTTTATAACGCACGTTTGTTCGAGAAAATGACGTGGGATTTAAACTGTTCCTGGTGCGAAAAATACTGATGAATAATACACACAAAATTATCCTCAATAATGATTTTTAAAATGGTGTTCGTGTGTCTGTGTGTGTGTGTGTTGTGTTACCAATTCCAAAGAAATGTCATTAACTAATTGACCTCATTTAAAGCTGAGGTACCTAACTTTCTTTTCCATAAATTTGACATTCTGTTTGTCTCAACAGAAAGAACAAATCATTTTATCTTTTGCATTCTCGGAAGAAAGAGCCCTGTGAGAAGCTGAGAGCTGATTGGCTGATCTGGTCCTCTCCTTTTCAACTTTTCTGTCTGATCAAAATATGCGACAAAACTGATGGAACCAAACTGTTTTTGAGCCAAGAACTTTATCCAAGAGTTTTTGTTTGAAAATTACCCCCAGCTTTTAGTAGACAATTATTTTGAAGTAGCTGCTTCCTTATCTATTTATCACATTTATTTCCTCAGTAATTACCTGGTAAATTATTTGGTTTTGTTGTTGGTCGCATAAATGAGGAAACGAAGAGACTAGATGAACAATTTTCCAATACTAATACTACCCAATTTCCTTAATTTTATTAGTTTTGACTCACACCATGGAACAGGAGTGCCACTATACAGAAATATTAACCAAAAAATGAAAAAAATGAAAACTGTTTAAACTATAATTCAAGCATTTCTTTACTAAAATGTTTGATCTATGTATATACAGTATATGTATTCTTATTATTGGAATAACAAAAAAATATTTTACAGTTGAATTCTACACGTTCATGTGACATCACAACATTCCAAAGAGCCCATAGATTTATCATTGTAGTGGAAGAAGCTGTATAATCTTTCCTGGTAAATATCGTAAATATCAAAATTCAGATTCTAGTCTCCGTTCAGAGCTAATTTCTCTGTAATTCCTTGGCAATTCCAAAAGTCTCACATTTTCCCGGTCAGTATCAACTAGAATGTTTTCTCATAAAGGTGTCTAAACGTGGTGACAATATAACATGATAAAAACACTTATTTTTCCCCCCCACAGAGATGTTTTGGCACCTCCCCTGCAACCGAAATAGAATTCTACAAAAGGAACCGCAACCTATGGATATTTTCGGCCGAATCGCGCCGCTCTATCTCGCCCCAGTGAACATTGAGCGCGTCATCGAGAAGTTGAGAAGGTCAGCGGCGCCTCTGTGAAGGGCGCGGAGAGACCGCAGAACGACAATGAACGCGGTCTGTGTGTGTGTGTGTTTATAAAAGCAGGACGCGCCGATCGGGCCTTTGTCAAGTGAAGCCTGGCACGGGCCCAGCTTCAGCCCCGGCGCGCGACGTCTCCATCAGAGAGGAGCACTACAAGGTAACGCCGGGATTAAAACGGGCACTGCTGGCACACACAGGCGGCACCACCATTTTTTTTATTTTTTTTTTGCGCTAGGCCATTGTTCCATATGTGCTCCACCTGCGCCTCTCCAACGCTCGCGCCAAACACACGCCAGCATCCGAGCTGATTGGAGGTTGCCTTGGAGATGCTGGAAGCCTTTGCAGAAAAAATAAATAAATAAATTGCGAGAGAGAGGGAGGCGGGAGGCTGGGGGTGCGCGCTGTAAATCTCAACATGGTATTTTTTTAATTTAGGAAATTGGCAAAGGAAGTGTGGTAAATGAATCGTCGTTAATAATAATTCACATATGGGACAAAACACAATTAGGCTGTTTTTGGCTACGGGCAAGGAGCGCGCCGACGCTTTTTTCAAAAAACGTGAGCTCATCTCATCAAAGGCACTTGAGTTCTCCCTGTAGTCCCCTGTGTGGAAATGTTGTGCCTCTGTACGGCATAATGATGTTTATGGAAATAATATCACTGAAGATTATAATCGGACACAGACAGAAGCGAAAGAAAGACATCAATCATGTGACGCGACGATGGAGCGGATTCCTGATCAGCTCGTTTGTAAAGCTGATCAGTAATTATGTATAACATGTTTTATGTCAAAACAAAATACACAAAAAAACAATAAACAAGATACAAAATGAAACAATGAACTTGATACAGAATGAATAAATGTAAGATGATTTCACAACATTTCAATGAGCACAAGATAATAATAATGATAACTATAACTTTGAATATTTAGCAAATATATAAACACATTTTCTGTGCTTCAAAATCTTAGCTGAGGCATAGAACTGTACCCCGTCCATCTACCAGCTCTACTTCCCTTACCTGGTTGTGTTTCCATTTTGCTTTAATATCTGGTACCGTATCCTAGCAACCTACCCTCAACGAACCAGAATACGGGAAAAAACTTGGTAAACATGGCTTCCAGCAGCACTATGGAAGTTCAAACACTTAAGTACCAGCTCGGTCTGGATAGAACCATGGCCAAACAGGTTCTAAAAATGTACATGGTAGAGTATGGCAGAGTAATGTACAGTAACGTAGAGCCATGTGGGGCCATGTGGGTGTGGTGGAAACAGGGCTTTGATCACCTCATGCAAAGATGTGTTACTCTATAGCGCACATGAAATACGGTGACATTTTTTGTGTGTCATAGCAACAGGACGTAGGATTATACAATCATAAAAGTGTGATTGTTTTCAGTTAGTCACAGGCCAAATATAGCAGATCTGGCGCCCCAATTCCTCACAATTAATACGATTATTCAAAACCTTGCACACAAGCGTAGGCCTCTGCCCTCCCTCTGAAATAATAACACTACATTCCAACATTCCAGAAAGTCAAGAGCACAACCTTTTATAGTGTAAGCCATGATTAAAAACAAATTTCACATATTTTCTCCTAAATGCAGTGTTTCATAAGATCTTTTTTCTTTCAATAAAGTGTTGAGCTGGTTGGAAAGGCAGGCTGCAAAAGCTCACCCGTAGCTTTTAATAACTGCATGGCCTGAGTCCAAGTTTGAGGCGAGCGCTGTGATTGGCCGGTCCCTTCACACCCCGGCACCTGCAGCATAGGCCTGAGTGTGTGTATCTGTGTGTGTGTGTGTCTGTGTTGCACTAGTGGAAGCATGACATGACGAGATTCAAAAACCTTCACCTGCATCCATGTGAGGAGTCAAATCATTAAAATGGTTTCAGGCTGAGAAAGCCCCGCGTTTTATAGAGAAAGTTCAAAGTACAGCTGCACTCAAATCTAATTATATGTTTATCTGTCCTCTACGTTCAACACAGAATCACGATAATGTGTCGTTCTATTAATGACAAAATTATGCAGGCCCTTAAAGCTGGGATATATAACTTTATTGGGCATAATTTATTCATTGTCTCAACAAAAATAGTCAAGTAAAGTGTAGTGAACAAATCAAACGACAACACGCTGCCTTCACTTTGTTAGACAATATGAGAAAATCTTTTGTATATGTATATATTTTGACACATTGGGCTGAGAGCTGTTTGCCTGAGTGAGGATGGTCTGCTCTTTTCTCACTTTTCTGTCTTTAAAAAAACAATAACAATGTGAGGCCACAAATACACGCATGAGAAAACTAGCAATTGAACCAAATCCTTCATACTAGAGCAAGAAGCTAGTATGACAGATTTTATTGCATAGCGCCTATTTGGGGTTTGAAAGTTAGCTTACCCCGCTTTATGTAGGTCAACATGAACGAAACTCTATGATCATATATTGTTGCGATACAAAAGTGAGTATAAATGATGACAATTTAACCAGTGAGGGAAAAACGCCAAAACTAGGACTGGGAATGCATCCAAACTATCACCATTTGAGCTGTTTAGTCTTGGCTTTAAAGAACCAGTTTAGAAAAGGAGAGGACAGTTATATGTTTAGCAAGTCTCAAATCCAAGTCAAATGAGTAAGTAACTATTTTTTATTTAGATTTTCGCAGACCAAAGCGCTTCACAATGTTCAGAGATCAGATATTGTTTCATTCTCTCCACATTGGTGATGATGGATTGTGCATGTTTTTAGTGGTAGAGGAAACTGGAGCACCTGGAGGAAATCTACACAGACATGGGGAGGACATGCAAACTCTTCTCAGAAAAGCCATCAAATCCAGTTCCGAGACGCTTTTACTGAAGCTGACAGAAGCAAGTCCCACCTCAAAACAGCTTTGTCCTATCACCAGTCTGTCACCACATGCATGTATTTATGGCTTCTTTCCCCCACAGAAAAACTACATTTGGACAAACTGTGCTGTCAGTCAGAGGAGGTCAGTCTTGGGACAACCTTCCTACAAACATAAGAGAATGCCCAACATATAACTCTTTAAAAAAAGAACTAAAACATTTCAAAGTAAATCAGTCCTGCACACATTTTAACTAGCTGTAATTTGTATAGTTGTATATTGTCTTTTGTATTATTATTATTGTGTGACCTACGGATGTAAATTGGCAGTTTTGCTACAATCTGGCACATTTACAATTTGTGTAGTTTAGTTTAGTCTTTATTTGAAGGGACAGTGTACAGAGACATTAAGCTCAAAGACAGATATGTTCTGCACCAGATTATAGCTAAACAGCTAGTTTCCATCTGCAGTCCCTGGTTACATCAATAAAATGCATGGATACAGTAATGTACAATCCTAAAAAAATAACTTTGCAATACAACACATTCTCTCTAATACAGACGCACACATTTAGCCTCATACCTGTTTGTTAAAACCACACTTCATTCACAGCATCACAGCATCACACCTACACAATACACATGTCACAACCACACATTCAGATGATACATTAACACATTCAGTACATTTCTCATCATACATAAATCACATACATCAGTTTCTAATCATACATAGATCATATACATCAATTTCTAATCATACAAAGTTCACACACATCAGTCGTCCTGGTCACACACCTCAGGGTTTGTGTGAGCAGCTTTGATTGCTCCATAACCATTTTTTAAGTTCTACTGTAAATGTAGGATAGTCTGATTGACTCTTCAGGTCTGTAGTGAGCTCGTTCCATTCCTTTATTGCTTTATATGAAAATGCTGATTGGGCAAAAGCAGTTTTACACCTAGGTATGCTGCACTGCCCCCTGGTGGAGGCTCGTGTGGTTCTAGTTGTCGCAGAAGATGTGAACTGAACAAAGTGTTTGAGTGGAGCTGGTGCGGTGTTGTTTAGTATTCTGTGAGCCAATCGTATGGATGCATATCTTTGAATATTGTCAAAATTTAAAAGTCTGTATTTTTGTAGAACTAAACAGTGATGGTGATGTCGTGGTTTCCGGTCGAGGATCTTAAGTGACTGTTTGTGCAGAGTTTCCAATGACCTCAGAGTGGTTTTATTTGCCTGGGACCAACAGGTTATACAATAATAAAAACGAGACATGATCATTGCATTAAAATAAGTTTGGGCTCCCTCCAGTGTTAGTGAGTTCCTTTGCACACCTTGCATATGACTGTTCATTAATGTGTGTTACCCGATAAAAATAAATAAATAAATAAATAAACATCTTTGGATCCGATTTTTTGGGTGGGTCATTATCTGTCACTAAATTGTTTTGAGAGCCATAAACTATAATTGTATGGATTTTATTCCATTAATGTTTTATGGGTTGACAGTTAAGAAAGCTAATAATAACATTACAAAATAACCCTCTCCTGATGGTGCCCAGAGTCAGGACGAAACATGGAGATGCAGCGTTTCAGATTCATGCATCTGAAATCTGGAACAGTCTTTCTAAAAAGGCAGGCTTCTACCTTCTTCTCAGGTTAAAAACAAAACATTCCTGTTTAGCTGTGCACACAACTGAAGGATTGCGTCTTCTCTCGTTTTAATGCACTGTGATTATTTAGGATTTCCATGTGATTCAATCAATCAATCACTTTTTTCATACAACAAATATTTGGTTTGCCATACCCCTCCACCGGACCATACACACACACACACACATATGTACACACATACACACGCACACACATACAAAATGACACACAGACAAAATCATATTAGGCACTTTGACTTCCCTTGTGTATGAACTTCCCTGACATTTTCCCCATCCCTAGCACAAAAACCAGCATCCTCTCCCACACAGGACTTCTACAGCGTGTGAACTGAATATTGATTTGAAAAACATGAAACACAAGTCTATTTGGTGAACTCACAATTGCTGTTTCCTCCCTTGTTGTGAGCAGTTTTCTTGGCTGTGTTTGGGGTGTAGCAGGTGTGCGGTGGAATAAGGTGTTTCTTCTGTGAAGCCTCTGAGTTTGCCGACAAAGCCACAGCGCTGCTCCATGCTTGCTGTTCTGACCCGAGTATTTGCGTATGATTAGGGCCCCCCTGCAGAAAGCGGCTGGGCAAATATGATATGTGCGTTCGCCGGTTTGCTGTCATTCATTTGAGCATTAATCCATAATCCAAACTAAACTGCGGTAAACAGACGAGTGTGGCCGACGCCGTGATTGTTCAGCTGTGATCCGAGCGGTTAATGTCTGCAGAAAGGGAGATTTGGGATCAGATACTGCCACAGATTTGGGACTTTTCTTCCACGCATTTTAGTTGTGTAGAGTTGTGCTTGAAAGTCTACACACCCAGGAAATAATATCATTGTTCCTGCCATATTTGGTTGATTAGAAATGACAAAACACACACTTATTCACTTTTGTGTGAAGCTATGTATTCTATTTTATATTCAAACTTTAACATTCAATTCATTTACTTTTTTTTTTGTATCGCCCAAAATCACAACAGCGGTCGTCTCTTCACAAAGATTCCTCAACAACGGATCAGAGGAATTGAACCGTTTAAACACTGCAAATGCAATAAAAACAAACACAGAGGATCCATCAATCCATTGGGAGCAGGATGACCACAGAATACTGTCCAATGTCCATAAATGTCCTGGATCATCACTGTCTTTAGACCATCCTGCATCAGCCAGGAACAACAACAACAACAACAACAGGAGTGAGAATCCTTGAAGAGGTCCATATTCAATTCAATTTCAATTCAATGTATTCTTACATAGCCCTAAATCACAACAGTGGTTATCTCAGAGGACTTAACAAAACCATTGAAATCACCAAAACAGATCAGAGAATCAAACAGTTCATACACCAAAAATACATATATGTAATGGTCCATAGGGAGAGACCAATGTCCATGAATGTTGATGAATGTCCATACATGTTGTAGAATGTTAGAGTGTCTTTGATCATAAACCCTGTAACCCAGTGGGGAAAAAAAGTCCACAGACAGACAGAACTCAGGCTGTTGAATAAGGACTGAGACTGTGCAGTGCTGGACAGCCAGGGGGGAGACCAGTCCACAGGTGCAGATGATCCCACTAACGCCATGAAACAAACAGTGGGACAGCAGGTGAATAGCACCTTTTTTGATATATTTTTCATGTAATAATAATAGGCACTTTTTTGGACACTCAAAGATAATTCACATTCACATTCATTCAATCCATACAAGGCCGTGATAAATTGTAGCCACAGCAGCCCTGGGGCACACTGACAGACGCAAATCCACCAGCATGTGCCATCGGCTGCTTTGACCACCACCAACCATTCACACACACACCAGGCTCATTGTAGGCAATGTGGGTGAAGTGTCTTCGGTCACAACAGAAGTTTAGCAATATACAGCCGCAGCCGCCCCACTGTGTCACCTGGTGTTTCCAGAGGTCTCCCATCACTGTACTAACCAGGCCACACCCTGCTTAGCTTCAGAGGTCTGGTCTCAAATGCAAGTGGCGCCATTCTTGAAATGTACATCTGGAATTTGCTAAAACCTTCTTAAGCTAGAAAATCAAAAGACCTGATTTAATTGACTTTTTTAAAGAAACGTCCACATGTGGGACAAATGAAAGGATTTCTTAATCTTAGGCTGTGTGTTGCCTTTACACAACACATCTCTATGCAGAATAAATACCAATACTAAATGTACGCTTACCTTCAAAAGAAACACAAAATGCCTTAGAATGCCATTGTATCAGCACAACCCTTACAGCACAGTCAGCGGGAAAGTGAGAAACTGCATCACTTTGCTTTTTCAATACATTTGGAAAGGGTAAAGAGCAGCGTATGCAATATTAGTCTTTTCATCATTCACTTTAACTACTTTATCCGCGCATATAACAAATGTGACCCCAAATATAAATTACCTTGGATGAATACAGGTGAAACTTGGAAAATTAAAGAATATTTTAAAAATTCCTTCTGTTATTGGATTTACAATGTGAAATGAATGTGTGAGAATCAAACGAGTTGTTAGATTCTCTGATCTGTTGGTGAATCCTCCAAGATGACTTTATTTAGGGCTGCACCGAAAAAAGATTTAAAATAATAATTGATATGACAGAGTGACACATATCAAGCCTGTGTTTGTAATAATGTTGATATTTGGCTCACATCTTGTAAAAACCTCTAATAACTAATAATATTTAGAAAAGTGATCGTCATGTGTTTCACGTTGTTAGTTAGATTACAGAAGTAAACAGACTTTTGAACAATATTCTAATTTTCTGACTTTCTCCATTGTCTCTGAGCAGTGTCCCTTCAGATAAAAACTGAATAAATGATTAACATTCCTGAAAACAGCTGTTATAGCATTTTGATTTGACTTTGGTCTTCTGAGGTTCTCTGTGGCTGGTCCAAAGCTTGAGAACCCTCTCCCCCTCATCTTTTGTGATCCGCCTTTTTCTCTGGTTTTTAGCACCCTTTGAGTTGTATGGCCCTCTGTTATCTTTTTTTTTTCTTCTTTCTTTTATTATTGAATAAAATAATAAAATTAATAAATTAAATTTCTTTGATAACTTATTTTTATTATATTTAAAAAATGTTGTATTGACTTTATTGTTGTATGGACTTATTTTTAACATAATTTATTCATAGCTAATTTTCCTACATGAATATTTTTCATGTTATATGGCATACATGTTTGTTAATGTATTAACTAACAGAAATTGTAGAAATTTGGAACATGTTTACAAAATGTGTCCAGCAACAAACAAAGTGGATTTTCAATTCAATTTGATATTTCGTCGTAAGCCCATAGACTCTACAAAGTTTTGAATCAAACAGAGACGCTCACAATACAAATACAATACAATAATAACACACACAGAAGAGCCATTGGTCCATCGGGAGCTAGATGACCGATAAATAAATGTTAATAAATGTCCTTAAATGTCCCGGATTATCACTGTCCTTAGACCCTCCTACATCGGCATGAAACAACTCATAAAAGAAAAACTGGATAAAAAAGATATACATAAATACAAGTTAAGATATACTTGACTGATTTTACAGTGGAATTATTTTGATATACTATACCTTGCAGCGCTAATGAGTGTTTTTGTGGCAGCTGTCAGTCACCACAGACAGTGACCTGCGATGGAATTAAGAGTGTGCTGCTATGGCCCTCCTGCTTCCCCGACAGCCCGACCAGACCCAGGCCCCGCCACAGGCCCAGCGGCCCGGCTCCGAGGACGACCATTAATCTCCCCGAAAGCGTAGGAGTCTCCGCCGCGCCGTTCCTGGGGCCGCGCACAGAGGGCGCCCTGCAGGATGTGGCTTTTTGGCTCCGGATCAGAGGGAGGAGGGCCTACCTGTGGTCCGGAGCAGATGCGCGGCTGACGGGGGCGCTCCGTGGAGAGTAAAGTGGAGGCTCGTATTTTAAGAGTTCTAAATGAGCTGTCTGCATGAGAGGACCGGTGACATGTACTGTGCTTATCTCTCTGTATTTCCCCAAAAGTACAAATGACAAATTAAATATGGAGTCTGTCAACCTGTCACAATAAGTACTACAGTATATTGCCTTTTTCATACAAGAACTCATGGATATAACAATATAATCTGGGCCTCAATATTTATTGTTTGTTCATTTCTTTGCAAAAGGGCAGGTTTTAGTTGTGGATGGTTCAATATGACTATAGCAGACATGTCCAAACTCAGGCTAACGGGCAAACTGCGGCCCTCTGTGTAATTGTATGCGGCCGTCTGCTTTGCCTACGGTAGTCTTTGAGAATATAAGCACAATTTCATCCAGCCAACTTTAGCTCAGCCGACATGCTGTGCTTCGTTGTAAAGTTCAGAACCTTGAGAATTCAGCCGTTGACTGTTTTTGTACAAGCTCACATTTGATTTTTTGCCAATGTGAGATGGCAAACATTTGTCATTCAGCCAACTCAAATGTAGCTCTGCCTAAATTTAGAGCTCAAAACAGCCCAAATCCAGTCAAAACAGTTTTACAATCCATGTTGCCAGACCGTAGACCAAGCCAGTTATCTAAAGTCGTCTTGTTATAAAAACGTTTGGACCACGGGCTGGGGCAGATGACCACTGGCCGTAAATGTTGATGAATGTTATTGAATGTTGAGTGTCTTGGATGTTAGAACCTCCTGCATTGGCAACAAAACCCCTCCATAAATCCCAGTCGGAAAAGGCGCGAGAAAAATGTTACTTAAAGAAAAATTTCCGTTGAGACAAACACAAGCTTTTTATGAAATCAGATTCAGATTCAGTTTATTTGCCATTTGCAGTAAAAACACCACATTGGAATACATTAAGCATGATTAAAAGAAATGATTAAAACATTTGCCTGTACTGGGATTAGCTGGCTTTATTGGACAAGTACAAGTGGCATCAACTAGTTTTTATGTTTTTGTTTATCGCAAACATTTTCTGGATCAATATATTTTCCATCAACATGAAGTTTTGTGAACCAAGAGTAGCTTGGTTATGTCTGACATCAGAGTTCAATAAGCAAGGCCAGCCAGTTTTATTTATTGTTATTCATTTCATACACAAGACAACTCAAAGCAGTTAACCAAACAGAAACTTTAAAATCACACAAGACGTTGAAATCATGTTCACAGTGCATTAAAAAAGTATAGATACAGTCCTTCAGCTGTCTGCGCTGCTAAACAGAACTGTTTTAACCTGTATTAAAACATTATCAAAGAAGAAGCCTGTCTCACATTTTTATTTTCATTCGCTAAAAAAAAAAAAACATTACTGGGCCTTTTCTCTCTTGAAAATACTGCTGTCAGATATATTTCACATACAAAACCAAGCTACTTTTAAAAGACTTTACTTGAAAAATGTGCTTTATATTGTAATTCTCTGACTTGTTTGTGTTGATACAGTCATTCTGAACAGTATCCCATGTCCTGTAATTCATGCTTTTAGATCTGTGATGGACCCCAGGACGAGTCTCTGCAGGAGGCTAATGGGGATCCTAAATAAACACGCTAATTATAATAAGATAAACCAAGAATGTTGTTTTTGATTTGTTCATAACATTTTACTTTTACTGTTTCTCGTGGAACAACATATGTTCTGAAAAAAGATACTCCAGCTTTAATTAAGTAAATAAGAAATGTTTTTATGTACAGCACACAAAACACTTTACAATTGTTGTGGGAATGTTTCATCTTCACATCATCCCTAAACTGGCTGAGTGGATAGCTCTCTCGCTTCTCAGCAAGAAGGTCCTGGGTTCGAATCCCGGTCAGACAGGGCCTTTCTGAGTGGAGTTTGCATGTTCTGCCTGTGTCTGTGTAGGTTTCCTCCAGGTGCTCCAGTTTCCCCTACCACTAAAAACATGCACAGTAGGTATGAATGTAAATGAAAGAGTGAATGGATGGTGTTGATTGGAGGCTGATGCGCCAGTGTGTTTGACGACTCGCTTCCATCATCACCGAGCGATGTGAATGATTGGAACATTATCTGAACTCTTAACATAGTAAAGCTTTGGTTGACTTTGGTCTGAAAAATGCGCTATATAAATAAACATTACTTACTAAACTAGGGGGGGGCCTCAGGGGCCTGATAGAAACATCAGGGCCGCCCACCACAGGGCTAATCACTGCGCCACTATGCCTCCCAATGACTATTTTAAACAAACAGTGGATGATTTAAGCTCACAAGTTTTTATGTCACAGTGGGAAGAGTGAACAAAATTAGTGCAAAAGATTCTCAGAGAAGCTCAACTTTGGACTGGGCTGCCTGTAGAGGTGAGAGATCTATCTTCCTTATGTGTTTGTAAAAGGTATGTGCAAAGCATCATTATAATCATTATTCATGTTTTTGTTTTTGCTTGTTCTTGTTATGGTTTTTTTTCTCCCCTGTGTTATTCAGAATCAGAATCAGAATCATTTTTATTGCCACGTAAGTAACAGGAGGTCACAGACTAGGAAATTGCTTTGGCTCAGTGCAACAGTCAAAAAGAGATAATAAAAATAAGAATAAAAAACACTTCTAAAGAATAAATTTAAATTTAAAATAGAGTTACAGTTACTATTTACAATATACAAGTGCACATGGTGCACACAATGTAAGGTGACAGCAGTACAGTGAAGTAAAGTGACGTATGATGGGCAGTAAAGTGACTTTATAAAGGGCGGGGGGACAGGTTAAGAAGTGTTCAAGAGTCCAACAGCAGAGGGGAAGAAACTGTTCTTGTGGCGGGAGGTTCTAGTCCTGATGGACCGCAGCCTCCTGCCTGAGGGGAGTGGTTGGAATAGTCCATGTGCAGGGTGAGAGGGGTCGGCTGTGATACAACCAGCCCGGCCTCGAGCTCGGGCGACGTACAGGTCCTGCAGCGATGGAAGGCTGCGGCCGATCACTTCCTCTGAGCGCACAATGCGCTGTAGTCTCTGTTTGTCCCTAACTGTGGCTCCAGCGAACCACACGGTGATGGAGGAGGTGAGGATGGACTCGATGATGGCCGTGTAGAACTGCACCAACATCTGTGCAGGCAGCTTGGCTTTCCTGAGCTGCCGCAGGAAGTACATCCTCTACTGGGCCTTCTTGATGAGGGAGCTGATGGTCGGCTCCCACTTGAGGTCCTGGGTGATGGTGGTGCCCAGGAAACGGAAGGACTCCACAGTGGTGATGGGGGAGTCCATCACGGAGGGTGGGGGCGGGGGGACAGTGCTCTTCCTGAAGTCCACGATCATCTCCACTGTCTTCTGGGCGTTCAGCTCCAGGTTGTTACCACTGCACCAGGACACCAACCGGTCCACCTCCCTCCTGTAGGCAGACTCATCGGTTGGAGATGAGTCCAATGAGGGTGGTATCATCCGCGAACTTGATCAGCTTCACGGAGTCGTGGCTGGAGGTGCAGTGGTTGGTGTACAGGGAGAAGAGCAGGGGAGAAAGAACACAGCCCTGTGGGGCTCCTGTATTTATAATCCGAGAGTCCAAGACATTATTCCCCAGACGCACTCGCTGCTTCCTGTCCGTCAGGAAGTCAGTGATCCACCTGCAGGTGGAATCGGGCACGTTGAGCTGGGAGAGCTTGTCCTGGAGCAGGGATGGCAGGATTGTGTTGAAGGCAGAGCTGAAGTCCACGAACAGGACCCTGGCGTAGGTCCCCGGGGAGTCCAGGTGCTGTAGGATGTGGTGGAGGTTGTTTACTTATTTCGACGGTAATTGATCTATACATTACTATGCCTTATCTGCACCTAATATGATGGACTAATGTATTGTTTCATTTTTACTTTTATTTTTTTTTGTAATACGTTTGTCATAACTGGGACCCCAGGAAGATTAGCAACCACATTGGTGGAAGCTGATGAGGATCCCCAATAAACAATAACCAGTAAACGATAGTAACCGCGACATTTAGACGTGTAACAATAAAAGCTTTATGCCTGGAGAGCTATAGAGCTAACAGTAATATTACATTAAACATTCATAAATGTTTATAAATATCCATAAATGTCCTAAATGTCCTTAGACCCTCCTGCCTCGGATAGACACTAAAAAAAATCAGCGGGAAAAAAATGAGAAACCTTGGGGAGCCCCACAATAGTACTGCTATTTCTTCAATCTTTCATTTATAAACATAACAGAAATCTAAGCATGGACTTTTGACGCTGATCCTAACTATGCCGTTAGGATGAATTATAAAGCCAAATATTGTTGCCTAAAGATAAGACTCCTCTGCACCCTGTCAGCAGCCCATCAATTAATTAGGCGGCGGAGAGTCTCACACATTTCCAGGATTCCCATGGGCCTTCGGGACGGTTTGCACTTTGACTTCACTTTTTAGGGAGGCACTGGAAAAATAGAAATTGACTTTGGAGATCAAACCAACACTAACTTTGTGGAAATAATCTCCCGTGCATCAATTAGGCCTTTTCAAAGAGCGGCGGATGCAAAAAAACACACTGCCCCCTGTCAGACAAGTGCTTAACTGCGGCGTAAATCTCCCCGAGAGGCCGAGGCCGTCTGAAGTTTGCGTTCGTCAACATAAGAGTGTGTTTCCCATGGCTTCTGTCACCCTCACTGAAGGTCCACCATATGTGCCGCTTCAGGGAGACGGAAGCACAACTTTAGATGCAACATTAAATTATCACGCATGCTCATGAGTTAGTTTAAGTACAAAAATAAAACTGATAGTAAAGTTTTTAATTATGTATTTTTCTGGTGGAATGATTCCTTTTTAAAGCGGCCTTTAAGTATGATTTGTTTTTGTACAACCCTAAATCACGACAGCAGTCGTCTCGATGGACTTTGCTAAATTTTGGATTGAACAGGATGCAAACGGTAACATGTTTTTTTCAGCGTTGGAGAAATTCAATGATTTGTGCTGCTGCAGCTGAGTGTGTGTGGTTGCATTTGCTGAGGGTTTCCTTACAAAAAAAAATAT